CGAATATGGCCAAGGGCCACCTGTTCCCGAACAAAATGAATATCCAACTCAATATGCTTGGTCCTTCGATGATGCACCGGATTAGCGAAGAGGTAGACCACCGAGACGTTGTCACAATAGACCATCGTGGCACGGTCAACAGGGCAGGAGAGCTCGTGAAGCAGCTGGCGAAGCCACGAACACTCGGCGACGACGTTGGCCACCGCACAATACTTAGCCTTAGCACTGGAACGAGAGACCGTAGGCTGCCGCTTGGACGACCACGAGATGAGTGACGGTCCAAGGTAGACACGATAGTCCGAGGTGGAGCGGTGAGTGTCAGGGCAGCCCGTCCAGTCTGCATCGGAGTAGGCGGTGAGGACGGTGTCAGTGGAGGCGTGACGCCAAGATCCATAGTGCCACAGAGATAGCGGAGAATCCGCTTGACAGCGGCCCAGTGAACGTCCCGAGGAGCATGCATATGGAGACACACCTGCTGCACGGCATACTGGATCTCTGGTCGAGTCAGAGTGAGGTATTCGAGAGCACCAATGATAGACCGGTAGAAAGCAGCATTTGAAGCAGGAGAACCATCCGTGGCAGAAAGCTTGGCCTTCGTATCAACAGGCATGGCGGTGGGCTTGCAGTTAAGCATGCCAGCACACTCCAGGAGCTCATGAGCGTACTTCCGCTGATGAAGAAAGAAGCCATCCGGACGGCGCACCACCTCAACACCGAGGAAGTAGTGCAAAGGACCCAAGTCTGGCGAACTCAGCGCGAAGACGAGCCGTGAGTTGACTGAGAAGATCAGCCATACAAGCCGTTAGGATGATGTTGTCGACATAGAGCAGCAAGTAGGCCGTGTCGGAGCCCTGACGATAGACGAAGAGCGATGCGTCCGAGCGGATGGAGCGGAACCCAAGCTGATGTACAAACGCCGCGATGCGCTGATACCAAGCGCGCGGAGCCTGCTTGAGTCCATACAAGGATATCAGCGAATATGTCTTGGCCGGATGACTCGTCCACGTTTCGATTGCACCTACACCAAAAATTGAGAGTTTTTCTTAGGGGAAAAAACCGAGAGCTATATCGGGACTTCGAGCGCCTGGTTGCTGCAATGGCGCTCGTCAGCGCCGTCTCTTGTGCCAACTCATTAGCAGGAGCGCTTGCTTCGCTTGAGTGCTCCACAGCTGGTTTGATCGCATTTCAAAAAAAAATTTAAGCATACAAAAAAATGTAACAAATTTGAAAAAAGTTCGTAAATAAGAAAAAAGTTCACGAAAAAAAAAATCAGGAACAAAAAGAAGGTTCAGGAATTTGACAGAATTCGTGAATACAAAAAAGATTAAATTTGAAAAAAGTTTCATGAATTTTAAAAATATCACAAACTCAAAAAAACTTCAGAAATTTGAAAAAAGTTTGCGAATACAAAAACACACATATTTTAAAAGGTTTATAAAATTAGAAAAAAGGTTCGTGAATACAAAAAAGTTCATAAAGTTTGAAAAGGACTCGCAGGTTTAAAAAAACTAAAAAATCGAGAAAACATTCACCAACTTTCAAAATGTTTTTGTGTTCTAAAAAATAAAAAAGATGAAAAATGAAATAAAAAACAAACAAATGCTGAACAAAACCCAATTCATAAAACCTAAAACGAAACAGTCAGAAGCTTCCCAAAACCGGACGAGCTTTCTCTCGCAGGAACTTAGATGGATCAGCCCATTAAATCAAGGGGTTAGATCAAGGGGTTTGCGCGTTGTACGGTTAAAGCTAGAAGTAGCGCCATAAGCACTAAATGGGAGCTCGCCAGATAATCGCTAGTGTGTGGTTGCTCTATCGGCCTAAATTCAGCCCAGTTTGTGTCTTATATTCGTCCGCTCACTTGGCTAGTCTTACGGCAATTTCGTACTTCAAATGAAATGTGTCCCCTTTTGTTGTTCTCCTGCTTTCCCCTTCTTTATTTTTCTTTTTCATTTTCTTATCATTTATTTTAAATCCATTTATGCAAAGTCATTTGTGTAACAAAAAAAGAGAAACAAAAGCAAACGGGAAGCTCGCCATTTTAATCATATTTTAATGGACAATGGAATGTCCTACAGGAGAAAGCGATTTAGACAGTAAAAAGAAAATAGGAGAAATGGACAATGTTCATAGTGTGATGCGAATTATCCACTATATTTTTCATCTTGTATTTTTCGTTTCTCTACTTTTTATCCTATTTCCTAAAAAATGTCAGGCGGGAGTAAAATGACAAAAAATGAAAATAAAATGCAATATCGCTCCAATTGCAGTCTCGTCGGACCTCTCTCAGCTGCATGGTATATGTGTCGTGTGTACTTGCATGTATACGGGTGGACATACAACTGACTGGCATCCCTTTTCTGGTTGCAGTCAAGCGTGTGTCCATGCAATTGCGTCAGGGTTATAACATGTGTAGTTGCATGTCTAAGTAGGCGGCATGTAATTGACCAACCCCACCTAGTTGTAGTCGCGCTACGAACTATGCAATTGCAGCCGGATTACAACACTTGTTGTTGTATGGTATGTGCGACGTGGCGTAGTTGCATGTTTATTGATGGACATGCAACTACTAGATGTCCCTACACACTGGTGGAGCTACAACCAGGCTAAATGGGCCATGGCCCGTCCAGCTCATGGCCAAAACTGTAAAGAGTAGAAAATAACTTGGGCCTTTTGTGATAAAAGAAATGGGTTTCCTTCAGCTTGACCCATGTTGGCTCGCCCAACTAGTTTTCTGTAGCTCCGCCACTGTCACTACTCTCAGTTGTATCACATGTGTGCCCTTGCAGTTGGAGTCGCGTTACAACACTTGCTATTGCATCTCGAGTAGTGGACGTATTGCTGGCCAACATCCATCCCCGTAGTTGCAGACCTATTGTGGACTGTCGAGTTGCAATTGCACTTGAGGTTGCATGTCTAGGGGTGGACATGCAACTAAAGGGCATCCCTCCTCATAGTTACAGTCACTTTGTAGGTTGTGCGACTGCATTCAGATTAAAACACTTGTAGTTGCATGTCTAGGGGTGGACTTGCAACTGATCGGTGGTCCTCCCCGTAGTTGCAATCACGTTGTGGGCCATGAAGTTACAGTCAGATTACAGTACGTGTAGTTACATGTCTAAGGATTGATAAGTAACTACAAAAAAGACCATGTGGACAAAAACACATTTCTTCAACGAGGAAAGAATGGTGTTCGTATGTTTTTCTCGTGTGGTGGAACAACCAAAAATAACAAAAAAAAGGAGGGGTAGGTAAAATAGGGAAATACTGTGTGCAACCATAATTGCGCCTGCAACTGAGATTGTGCGTGGGGGCAGGGTAGACACCCGTAGCACCCTGGGATTGATTGACACTATGCAAATATGGCAATTGCAGTAGCCTCCGCATAATAACGATCCTAAGATGCTAAAGATTATCACAATGTGCCCATCATGTGAAACATCAGTCGGTATCACAACACAGATAAAAAAAATAGTCCGCAGTAACAACATATACAAGTCTTGCAATGAAGGTATACAATAAAGTTCTTTCTACCAAGATACAACTCATACAACAAAAGTGAATAAATCTGGATTTGGGCTTGCCTTGGTGCGAAGACACTAAGTTGCCCCCGCTGGTGACGCATTAGTTAGACTACATCTCCTGATTAGCTGGCCTGACCCATTTGTGAACAGTGACTGCATTGTGTTTATTAAATAAATTGGTAGGGGTCCTACTTAAAATAGGTTTCGGGCCTTAAAATTAATTCAGCCTCAAAGGACTTACTCCAAGCCTCACAAAAAAATTCAACATTCTTGGGCATCCATTTATATTTTATATGTAATTAAATCCATAATAACATTATTAGGGTTTAATCCAAAAATAAAAAGAAAGTCATGTTAATCACTAAACAGTTGATAGGGCCCACATAATAAATAAGAGGCCATTGCCAAAAAAAATAAGGTTTAGAAAGAGCATTAGGACAATTGGCATAATCTAAGGTTTTAGTTTTTTAATAAAAATATAAGAGTCAATTAAATATTCATTTCATTGAATGCAATATGATGCTAATGCAAGGTTTATGAGATGAGTTTTTTCTGTGTGAATAGGTTTATGAGATGAGCTTGGTACAATGATGATGCAAAAAGGAAACAAAAAATCAAGTACTAATTTAGGATAAACTACCAGATTGTTAGACAAATGATAGCATAGCTGCAAAGTAGAGGCCAAACGAAGGAAGTTATGATCGGGTGCGGCAAAGATGATGTGTCGGCTTAGTCTTGCGAAGATGCTTATAGAGGTAGGGTGTGCGTGTGTGCGTTCATAGGAGTAAGTGTATGTGGGTATGCATGAGCGTCTAAGTTTGTACTGTATTAAGAAAAATATCAAAACATACAAAAAAGCGAGCATGTTCCTCTAGTTATTTTTTTAATCATAAGTTCCTCTAGTTATTCCTAAACAATATCGAGCCGCATTTCACCAAGAGCTCTTTTCTTCATTATGACCCCAATAAATCCCGATTTTTGGATTTTAAGCATGTCATTCCGAATGTTTTTTCATGGCAAGTCTAGTTGATGCGAGGTGGCAACTTCAGTTGTTAAAACATGTTTGTCAACCTCACGTGAACTAATGTTGCCATAAAAACATTTAGAATTTCTAAACAGTATTGAGCCGCATTTCGCCAAGAGCTCTTTTCTTCATTATAAAAAAGACCCCAATAAATCCTGATTTTCGGATTTTAAACATGTAATTCCGAATGTTTTTTCATGACAAGTTTAGTTGATGCGAGGTGACAACTTTAGTTGTTAAAACATGTTTGTCAACCTCGCGTGAATTAATGTTGTCATAAAAACATTTAGATTGCCATGCTTAAATCCGAACATTCGGGATTTATCATTTTCGTGTAAAAAGGAGGGTTTACACCGACAGCCAGCAGGTTACTTAGCCAGCAGGTTACTTATTCTTGCTATGCCATCGAGCACTGTCTAGTGTCCACCACAGTTCGTTCACTTGTAGTTCGTTCACTTGTAATTAGCACTAGCCGCCTTCACAGCGCCGTCATTCTTGACGCTGAACTCCACGAACCTGTCCACCTCAGGCATGGCGTCCGCCACCGCCGGGTGGGCGCAGAACCGATCCGCCCAGGCGGCCAGCTTAGGAACCTTGGCCGCGTCGAGCAGCCTGATTTCAGCGATCCTCTCTACCGCCCTGATCCATCCGAGGTGCGACCCCAGAGCAATGTCCAGGTAACCCACGCCGTCGCCGCCGAAGTAATCCTTCCCTTGGCTGCAGTCGGCGAAGGCCACCTCCAGGTGCTGCAGAGCGGCGCACACCTGAGCCGCCGCTTCGTCCTTGTCTCCGTCCAGCCTTCCCCTCAGGACGCGGATCGCCGTAGGGAACTACGCATCCATTGAACAGGGAGCACACGTTTGTTTAGGGGAAAGCTTTGTAATCTCATACTATCATTTTGTTGCTGAGAACTGAGAAGTTCAAAGCGAAAATCAGAACTGGATTGCCTTGTCTTTTTACCTTGTCGTCGACGTACTGGGCCCAGAACCGCTCGGCCGCCCGGGCGTAGGGATCGGACGGGAGGAGCGCCGGGGCTTGGGAGGCCCAGGCCTCGTCGACATACTGGACGATGATGAGGGACTCGGAGACGGGCCTGCCGTGCTGCAGGAGCACGGGGATCTTCTTGTGCACGGGGTTGGAGGCGAGCAGCAGCTCGCTCTTGTTGCCCACGGCCTCCTCCACGAGCTCGTGGTCCACGCCCTTGAGCCCAAGAGCTATCAGCACCCGGATCACGAACGGGCTCGGCCACCTGCCCAGCACGCGCACCGACGCCGTCTCCTGTTTCTCCGACGACATGTTTTGTCGATTTTTTCAGATCGTGTGGTGTTTCTCCAGTGAGGACTGAGCTGAGGCGGTATGTCTATATGAAGTGAATTGAAGCATCGGCCACTACGGCTTCGACGTCGTCGCGTGCGTCATGGTTTGAAGCCGTGCGTCGCTCGACTTGTGTACCAGTGAGCTAGACGCACGTTTCTTGATGACTTGATGCGAGCCCTTTCGTCACAGGAGCGAGCGTGTATCGGATTTTCTGTGGTCAGGTAACCTTCTCGAGACCATGTTTTTTCAAAAAGGGGGATTCGCCCCAGCCTCTGCATCAGAACGATGCATACGACCAATATTATTAATAAACAAAAGGTCCAGCATAAGTCTCCAAGTCTCGAACAAAGAACAAAACAAAGGCTCACGAAGAGCTAATCAGTAGTAGAAAAGCCACAACCGACTCGCATGAAAAGGTAGGAGCACTACATGCCTGCCCTATTACATAACCGCCATTCAAACCGGTTGAAAATATCCCGTGCTACCATCTCCCATTGGGTAGACGCAGTAACCAAACGCTCCCTGGCCTTCGTTGGAGTGAGTAGCGACCATATACGAATCAACACAGTGGCCCTGAAGATAACCTGCAAAAGGTGAATATTTGTTATTCTGTTAAAGACCAGATCATTTCTACAGTTTCAGATTGCCCATAATAAAGCACATACACCTACACGAATATGTCTCATTGTATCTGAATCTATCCCATCAAGCCACGCCCCATATAACGCGTTGATAGAGTACGGTGGTAATGTTAAAAGCTATGTGAACCGACCGCCACATAATTTTTGCCAGCGGACAATCAAAAAAGAGGTGTTTGATTGGTTCGTGTTGGTCGCAAAAGCTACATCTCGTAGATCATGTCCAATTGCGTTTTGCCAAATTATCCTTAGTCAAAATAACTTGCTTATGCACAAACCACATAAACACTTTGATTTTCAAAGTTACTTTAACTTTCCAAGCATGTTTCGAGCTAGGAATCACGCTAGAGTTAATAACATCCAAATACATGGATTTAATCAAGAACTCTCCGTTCTTAGTTAGTTTCCAGCACAACTGATCTGGCTGTTGAGACAACTAAATATCCATCAATCTTCTTACAAGATGGAGCCAGGTTTCCCATCGGTTTCCCACTAGCGTCCTCCGAAATTGAATATTGAGCGGGGTGGAGTGCAGAACTGTTGCAACGTAAGCATCTCTACGTTGAACAATATTATACAAAGAAGGATTTTGGAGTGCGAGGGGCGTCTCCCCTAGCCATGTATCCTCCCAGAACCTTGTAGCGGTAGCGGCTCCAACTATGAACCTTGTCCTATTGAAAAAGAGTGATTTAACTTTCACCAATCCTTTCCAAAATGGTGAATCAGTCGCCCTCACTGTCACCTGGGACAAGGTTCTAGAGTGAAGATACTTGTTACACAAGATCTGAGCCCAAGTGGCCTCCGTCTCGACAGAAAGCTTAAACAACCACTTGCTAAGAAGACATCTGTTCTTCACTTCCAGATTCTCAATACCTAGTCTCCCTTGGTCTTTTGGCCTACAGATAATATCCCATTTAGCAAGTCTGTATTTTCGCTTAAGTTCATCACTCTGCCAGAAGAAGCGTGATCGATAGAAATCTAGCCTCTTCCAGACTCCAACCGGTATCTCGAAAAAGGAGAGAAGAAACATGGACATACTCGTGAGGACCGAATTAATGAGAATTAATCGTCCTCCGTATGACATGAGCTTGCCTTTCCAGCAGCTCAGTTTCTTCTCAAAACGGTCCTCAATGCACTTCCATTCTCTGTTGGTCAGCTTACGATGATGAATTGGTATACCTAAATACGTGAACGGTAAAGCCCCCAATTCACACCCGAACAATTTTTTGTACGCTTCTTGGTCATCAGTAGCTCTTCCGAAACAGAACAATTTGCTCTTGTGGAAGTTAATTTTTAACCCGGTCAATTGTTCGAATAAGCATAACACGAGCTTCATGTTTCGCGCTTTTGCCAAGTCATGCTCCATGAATATGATAGTATCATTAGCATACTGAAGAATGGATACACCTCCATCAACTAAGTGCGGGACGAAGCCGCCTACCTGACCCACATCCTTAGCCCGTCCTATGAGAATAGTCAACATATCAACCACTATGTTGAAGAGGATAGGTGACATCGGATCCCCTTGCCTTAGCCCTTTGTGTGTTTGGAAGTAGTGACCTATGTCATCGTTCACTTTAATCCAAACACTCCCTTTTTGCGTGAAAGAGTCTACCTGATGTCTCTAGGCCTGATCAAAACCTTTCATACGCAATGCCTATTGAAGGACGGGCCATTTGACCTTATCGTATGCTTTCTCAAAGTCCACTTTGAAAACAACTCCGTCTAGCTTTTTTGAGTGGATTTCATGGAGCGTTTCATGCAGGACGACAACCCCTTCTAGGATGTTTCTGTCCGGCATAAAAGCGGTTTGGGACGGTTGCACCACAGAGTGCGCAATTTGCGTAAGCCTATTAGTCCCGACCTTGGTGAAAATTTTGAAACTAACATTAAGAAGGCAGATAGGCCTGAACTGCTCAATACGAACGGCCTCCGTTTTCTTAGGAAGTAAAGTTATCGTTCCAAAATTTAGTTGAAACAATTGAAGTTGTCCAGAGAATAGATCATGGAACATCGGAAGCAAGTCCCCCTTGATAATGTGCCAACATTTTTTTATAAAACTCCGCCGGAAAACCATCTGGCCCTGGAGATTTATTGTTCTTCATTTGTGAAATGGCCTCAAACACATCTTTCTCCGAAAAAGGGGCTGTCAAAATCTCATTGTCGTCGCAAGTTGAGGGACATCCTCAACCCTGGACTCATCTAAGGACATGAAGTTATCCTCCGGAGGCCTAAACAATTTCTTATAGTAATTGGTTATATAAACTTTCAGATTTTCTTATCCTACAATCGTCCCCTCGTCCTGCTCTAACTGGAATATCCTCTTCTTGCGGTGCTTGTCATTTGCAATCATATGAAAGAACTGAGTGTTATCATCCCCTTGGACGATTTTGCGAACCTTAGCTTGCAAAGCCCACTTCAATTCCTCCTCTCGAAGAAGTTCTTTCAGTCTCAACTTCGCCTCCATCTTAGTTTCCAGCTCTCTGGTATCTAAAATAGTGGATTCAGCTTTTAAGTCTAGGGCTTGAATAAATAAAAGGAGCCTTTCCTTCTCAGCCTTATAAATCCCATGCGTATGCTTAGGCCATCCATGAAGGAATCTTCGCAGATGCCTAATCTTACACTGCCATTTTTTGACAGGTGACCTTCCTCCTGAATCTTTAACCCATTCTCTAGCAATCAAATCGAGGAACCCTTCTCTATCAAACCACGCTAATTTGAAAGAGAAGGTGTTCTTATTTCCCACATGGGTGGGAACGCCAGAGTCTACAAGCAATAGGGTGTGATCCGAGATAGCTCGCGATAGTGCCTCAACTATTACGAGGGGGAACTTCTGTTCCCATTCGACGCTAGCTAGGACACAGTCCAGCTTCTCAAACGTCGGGTTTGGTAACGAATTAGCACATGTGAATTTCCTACCGGACAGTTCTACCTCTCTAAGATCCAAGCTTTCTATTATGGTATTGAACATAAACGACCATCTGCTGTCAAAATTCTCTTTATTCTTTTCCTCCCTTCTTCGAATAATGTTGAAATCGCCCCCAACGAGGATTGGGAGCTGCTCGCTACCGCAAATACGGACAAGATCGGCCAAAAAATCTGGTTTGAGTTCTGGCTGTGTGGCACCATATACCGCCACCAATGCCCAATCAAACCCATCGGCCTTTGATTTGACTCAAAACTTTACCGCAAAATCTCCCATGACCACCCTTCGAACTTTCAACGAGTCACACTTAACCCCTAGTAAGACCCCACCGGATCTTCCTCTTGGAGGTAGGCGGTGCCAGTCGAAGTCGACACCCCCCAATAAAGAGCTAAGGAACGGGGTAAAAATGTCCCTTCTAGTTTTGGAAAGGGCAATAAAATCCAACTGGTGTTTACTAGATGCTTCCACTAGAAACCTTCTTTTAGCCAAGTCTTTAAGACCTCTGCTATTCCAAAAAATTCCTCTCATATTTCATCATGAAATTTTTCAGAGGTACGGATCCTAGCACTTCTACGCACAACCGAAACTGGGTAAACCTTCCGTTTCCACTTCTGCTTAGGCTTATTTTGATCCTCCCGCCGGTCTTCACAACCGGGCTCTAAGGAGATAACCTCTGGACCATCTACATGGATCGAGGCCTTAGGGGAACCGAAACCCTCATCCTCCTATGTCTCAGGAAGTGTAGGGTCAAGATCCACACAAAAACTATCAAGAGCCCTGACTCCCAACACATCTATGTCAGAACCATTCATGGGCTTAACAGCTGCTATGTTACGTATCATTTCCAAAGCCCGCTCCGCTTCGAGATCGAGAACATCATTAACTGATTTAGTGATTTCACTATCATTACTACCTAGTGAAACCCCTAGTTGATTTGCATTGTGAACAATCTCATCATTGGAAAAAAGTAAAATCGAATTTGACTTATTGACAGACATACCAGTAGTGACCTCAACATCATGCAGCTTGGCCGCCCGCATAGCGCACCTCAACTACATGTCATCAACGTCCGGCTGCTCCCGGAGACGACTGCTGATCCGCCGCCCCTCAGAAACAGGATCTGGGATCCCTCCAAAGGTTATGACCTCCTCCGCGTGGCCCTGTTTGGGGTGGGGCCTCCTACTCGACCTCCAATGGAGCTCGACTGACCTGGAGCAGCCAAGAGATCACCAAGAGTCCTCGAAAATTCCCACGGCATCACCACGGGAGCCCCACCCAGCACGGGCGTAGCAAGCGAACCCGCTAGAGCGGGGCGACACTATGAGCGGGGCTCCTGGTCGCCAGCTCCACCCGACCCTCCCACCAGGGCAGGCATCGTCGGAGATGGAGCCACAGGTTGCATCAGATGACGCCTC